TTTTCGGGTAAGTTGCTAACTCAGGAGCCAGGAAAGCTAGAAAGCTGAAATTTTAAGGGGGTGTTTTCTGGCGGCCAGTCTTAATTTGTTTAGCTTAGAAGCATTTGCCGAAAAAGCCGGCGCTGTTAGCGAAAAAAACTAAGAGAACTATCCAAAAAACGCATCGTCGCATGGGCAGCCCGTGCGTTGGGCAATTATTTTAATTCGATTATTCAGATCGGCACAGAATATCAGCATATCGGGGGCACATCAGCATATGGGGGCTTCAACATATCGAGGGTACAAACTCGCAATCAAGTTGCTTTTGAGTAATCTTCAGAAGACAGGGTCGTGGAAGTCCTTAAGCACTGGCTGGTTTCATTTAACATTCTACGAACAACTGAGTTATTTCCAAGTACCTCCACATCTTTTAGAAAGTAGAAAAATGAAAAGAATTTTGACTTCTGATGGCGAGTTGGCGTAGCAAACCTGTGATTATTGATGGAAAAACACTACTCCTTTCACAGCACCCTCTTCTGAGGCAAATAACTGCATAATCCTATTGAGGGCTGAAATCAAATTAACGAACCTTTGTTTTGACGGCGGATAATTCGCATAGTGAGCGATTGGGCCTAAGCGTGGATATGCCGACGCTGACGGCGCTGTATATCAGGTCGTGTGGTGTTGGTTGGTCAATTGTAGACAGATCCTCCCTTTCCGTGACGAATGCGCCGTCGTTCTGCGAATCGTAACGTCCATTGGTGCTCCTGTGTACGTAAAACATTCTGACCTTTCTTGTCCTTTTAAAAAATTTAGCTTATCTGCGCTTCCGATAGTTTTCTGGGATGCACCCCTACAAGTCGGACGAGACTGTATCAGATCCTGAGCCACATATCTCCAGTTAGTCCCACTGCCTGCTCCATGCACTGCTTGTTCCTTCTCCCCAACCCCCTTCCATTCTTTTCTCATGTTTTGAGCACTTTCAACAGTCTGCTGCAAAAGCGCTCAAACCCCTTTGGCTGCCCAGCTTGTTTTGCTATAAGGAAGCATTGGTTTGGTGGTTTTTAGAGCAGTGAAGCATTCCTTTATGGACTTGCCATTTTAGTTTCAGTGTTCAGAGTGAAATCATTATTTCGTGAGAAGCAAAGAATACCCCTGCATTTTTGTTGTCATAAGTGGCAATTCGGAAAAACGGCATCCTCCCCAAGTCCGGAGCCACTGTCAATATTTCATGTGTGATCGGGCATTTGTGAGTCAATGTTTCTAAAGATTTTTCGCTGTGTTACCAGTTCCGCTATGTGAAACCGAAACATGAAATACCACTCATTAATGATTTCATATCTTCAGTTATAACGCATGTTTCATTAATGGTGTACCTGTCATCGCTGGTATCATTCTCTAATCGTCCAGAACCTTTATTATTCTCGTCGAATGATGAATAGTAGGGCTGACATGTGCTCGGCAGAATCGCTACGTTTCTGTAATTACAGTAACAAAATTTTCTATGACCTTAAAGCTTACTTGCAGTGCCTAGTTAGTGTTAAAATGTGTGAAACAAAAATTTTCCACAGGTAAGCAGCGCATTTTTTTGATCAAACACCAAACCTGATTAAAAGGCAAAAAGTTTGACAAAAAAAACCACTTTTTTTGCTCGAAAAGCAAGGACAGTTTTAAACCAGGAGTACCTTAGGTTAGTAAGACCTTACGGATATGCATATACATTAGACATGCAACAGTCAGTTTTTTGATTTCGATAGTTCAAGCATTTTAAACAGTGGGGAATACTGTCACTTAAACCTTGAGTCGATTTAAAAAAATTACAACCAGAGACTTCAAAATAGCTGGATTACAAAGGATCCAAGTAAAGCGCACATGTTCATCACCTTGAACAAACTTCGAATTTATATACTTTTAATACATCTGTGCTGATAAATGCAGACAAGCAGTAGTGCAAGGAAAAGTTTTACCTCGTCCTGTTTTGAGTGGAATAATTTGAGCTTTCGTTAAACATTTTATAAGATGCCTTGATGCCGTAGTATGAATTCAAATTTTTCCTCAAAAATTTTTCACGCTGTGAAGCAACCCGAAATATTTTATAATACACCGAGCACATTAGCTTAAATTAAATAATATTAATGCGAATAAGTTAGAGTAAAGCTGCAGAACGGCCTAAATCCAGTCACTAACTAAGAGTCAAAATTTCTTTGCAAATTATTTCAAACATATTCCAGGCAGCTTGTCTGAGCAAACAGCGACAGGTCAGAGTGACCATGTGTTTTGCAATATGTTGTTCTGGGCGTGAGTAAATGCACAAAAAGTGGCTGCACTTAGTCAAAAAAATTTCACAACTCCTCAGGGCGCCTGAAGTTCCAGAATTATAGCTTGCAAATCAAATCAATTTGAAAAACGTACTAAAAGCGGAATGAAGAAGCTTGCCATCGAACTGTATATACGGTATAGGAAAACACTGGGATAGCCACATTCGAGTGCTGCCAACCGTGGGGAGTCAGTGGTCCTAGCTGACGCACCACTGCTCTCTGAATAATCATCGATACGGAATATCCATGGTGGACTGCAGACAATGATCGAGATCAACCACACAGAACCCAACAGTAGTGCTGCTGTTTTACGATTTCTACAAATTTTTCACACTGAAAGCTTTTTCCTAGCGGATTTGCACTGCGCATTGAGTACACCCAGGATAATGAGAATTTTTGGCGTAAGAAGACAGCTTGTTCACTTTGCTAATAATTGAAAGGAAATACATATCAATGAGCGGTCTGCGTGACAAGAAACAAAGATGTGAATGATTTTCAAGAAGTGGTAGTTCATCAAGTATGCTTGTTGAAAATTAACGGATCAGCTCGAAGAAAATTGGAATTCTGCACATGACGGGAAATTGGAAGTTAAAAAATTATCAGTTGTATAATAACTTTGAAAGACAGCTGATTCTTTTCAAAATCCATATTTAATGTGAGAACTTTCGTGTTTTTTGTAATTTCCTCTCAGTATCTGTAATGTACAATTCACAAAAAAGGAGAACATATATTTTTTAGCGTTTTGCTTGAAATCATGCTTTAACCGTATTTCACTGTGCTGGTTGGGTTTTAACAGGACGTACCTTGTTCTTGAATATTTGAGTGGACTGGTGATAGCTAAATAACGATCGATTGAAATAACGCATAGATTGAGTATCGATGCGGTACAGAACAGTATATCACTAGTTGACCAGATTCTACACAACAGTATGCTGAATGGCCAAGCATGATTGAATAATAGGTTAAGAAAAGATAATGGCATCACAAATAAACCAACAAGCAGATCTAAATTTCCTTCACTAATCCAGTGAATCAAAACAAATTTCTAAATAATTGGCCAATGCACGGGCTGCCCGTGCGAAGATAGGTTTTTTGCATAGCTCCCCGCAGTTTTTGTCGCTATCGGCACCAGTTTTCCGGCAGATGCTTCTAGCTAAACAAATTAAGATTGCCCGCCAGAACTGTTGGGACACACTCCCTTATTTCAGCTTTCTAGCTTTCCTGGCTCCTGAATTAGCAACATACTGGAAAAAACTTTCACGGGCCGTACGTGGGTACCACGTACCCGATGTCTGGGGTTTGAGCTCGTTGACTTACGCTGACAGGAACATTCTCTTAAAACTACAGTCTTCTAGCTTTTCAGCTTCTCGAGTTAACAAGTCACCCGAGAGAAACTCTGGTGAGCCCGTGCGTGGACACCACGTATACTTGAGAGCTGGGTTTGAGCTGAATGAGACTTAGGTGGACGGGAAATATCCCCTTAAAATTACAATCCTTTAGCTTTTCAGGTACTCGAGTTATCAACTTACTCAAAAAAAAACTTTGGCAAGCTTGTACGTAGGTACCACGCTTGCCCGGGGGATGGGTTTGAGCTCATTAATACCTAACTGGACGAGAACATTTCCTTAAGATTTCAGCTTTCTAGCTTCGCAGATCCCCGGCTTATCAACTTACCCGATAAAAACTTTGGCGGGCCCGTACACGGGTACCACGCGTAGCCGTGGGCTGGGTTTGAGCTCAGTGAGACATACGTGGACAGGGAACATTTCAGCCTCCCAACGTTTTTAGTTTCTGAGTTAGCCGCTTACCCGTAAAAAACTTTGGCAGGCTCTTACGTGGGTACCACGCGAGTAAGACCGCCTATTTTGGAGATGGGGCCCGTACGTGCATATAGATTAGGCCTCCAAAGTTTCAACCCTGTAGCTTGTAGGTCTTGAGATGAAAAACCGGTGCAGAGGCCCTGCGCACACAGACACACACACACACACACACAGACAACCTCTCATCAGTATGCTTTGTTCGCATTGCATAGCTGCAAAAAAACGCCAAAAAAGCACGAATCTGCACACTTAAGCGCACAAAGTATATATATTCGAGCACCACGCCGAAATTACCTAGATTTTGACAGTGGAGCCCTCGGCATTAATGAAATGCAACCTCTGCACCGAGAGCACCAATTCCATTATACTCATATCTCCTACGGTGCATGCCATTCTAATTCGCAGATACAAAGGTGAAGGACTACTTTTCGTCTTGCGAGTAACAATTAACGCTAAACAGTTACTAGAAAAGAGAAAAGCATGTTGTATGTCTAGTGCTACGGTGATTGGACGCTGCTCATTTGATTATTTCAAAACCGCAGAATATCATTTCCCTGCAGGTGCTCAGGAGTTCTCAGTCTTTGTTTGCCTTGTAAATTTCAAAACTGCACATAAATAATAAATAATTTATACTAATGATATCACTGCTGTATAAAGGCCTGAATGCCCTTATCACTTCTCCCTGTGAAAAACGCAAAATAATGAAGGCAAAAAATAACCAGCGGTAGCAAGTGAGGTCAATAATTTATTTGTAAACGTACGCATACGTTGATAAATAATGACAGATAATATGACAAGCGTATTACCAATTATCGTGAAAAAAATGAGCAAAACCTGAAAATGGATCAATATTGCTTGAAACAGTGCACGAATTCAATGTACCACATCTACGGTGAAAGGCTCCAAGTTGAATCACCTAGGCTTTTTTAGGAAAAAGAAAAAATTAGGAAGCTTTGATAAAGACCCTTCTGCACTTCAGTATATTGCAAATAAGTTATTAATTTAACAGCCATCACACGCACAAAAAAAAAGTTTATCAATAATCAATAGGTGTAAAGTATGTGAACACTCACAACTTTCTTTGGAAAGAGTTAAAAACAAGCTTGAGCCACTTGAAAAAGAATAACACTTGTCAATTCTTTTTCTCTTCGTTTGCATTTCAGGTTTTGCTCATTCCTGTATGTTGTTATTATTAAGAAATAGAAGAATTTCACTTGAATGTCATGTGTTTGAAGACATTTTATGACGCA